AAAAGTGAGAAAGAAAGAGGGAGAGAGAGAGAGAGAGAAAGGAAGGAAGGAAGGAAGGAAGGAAGGAAGGAAGGAAGGAAGGAATGGAAAGGAAGAAAGGAAGAAATTGTGTCACAAAGAAATGAAAACAAGTGCCCAATCATTACAAGTAGAAGGAGGCCAGCTGAAGCATGCCAAGTCCAAGTGACTTCATTTCCATCACACTGGCTATCCAGAAATGGCCTGGCCATCTGAGGTAACAGATGAAAGAGTCAAGAAGGCAAAAATTCACTTCATCTTAACCTAGAAGCATAAAGAAAATTCTCTGGTTTTACTCAGCTTGTTTTGTCAACTCCTGACCTTTCCTTCCATGGTTGAGCCCATGAGCAATATGGACCATCAAGCACTGCACAAAAGCCACACTGTTGTCACTGTATTTGATTTCAGTGTCCTGCATTTTTCTAACTTGGGGAGGGGAAGGGAATTAACAAAATGCTGAAATAAGAATACAGGTTGACCCATTGTCACAATGAGATGTATAAGACACTATGTACTTTACAACTTCAGTGCGTGGGGGTTGGGAGGGAAAGTTGGGGAGGTGGGGAGGAAAGGGATGATAGGGGAAAAACAAAGGAGGGGGTAACAATGCTCAATAGGAAATGGACTCATTACCTTGCTCATATAAATGTAACTCCTCTGTACAGTATCTTTACAATAATATATATATATATATATAAAACCACACTGTCTACTTGTCAAGAGTGCTTTTCTATCTTTCATACATGCACAATGAGATTTGAAATTGACAGATCCCATCTACAGAACAGGGAACACCAATCATATTCACTGATGAGTCCTGGTAATGTTGCTGGCACTGGTTGTGTGAGTACCCAGCCTAGAGGTTCCCAGCCTTTGCCCCAACAGCTACTGCTCCACAGAAAGCTAATAAGCACCTAGCTCTGCCTCCCAAAGAGAACACCACCACACAGGTACCATATATGCACATTCCTTTCCTATGTAATGTCACTAAAAGGAACAATTTCTCAGTTGAAAAAATTTGAATTGAATGAATTGTTGTACAGCAATTCTTATGGACATACTAATCAGGGGCTAGAAAACATACCTTCCCTATTATAAGGAATATTTAAAATTCAATTGATATATTATCTCAACATATTTAAAAAAATAATCTGGGATCTGGTGGCTCACACCTGTAAGCCTAGCTATTCAGGAGGCTGAGATATGAGTCATGGTTCAAAGCCAGCAGGGTAGGAAAGGCTGTGAGAATTTACCTCCAAGTAAACTGGAAGTGGCAGTGTGGCTCAAAGTTGTAGTGAGGTAGACTTCAGCAAAAAAGTTCAGGGACAGAGACCAGGCCCTCAGTTTAAACCCCACAATCACACACACACACACACACACACACACACACACACACACACACACACACACACACACACACCCCTCATAAAAATAACTTCAAAAAAGTCATAAAAACTCTCAAAAATGTAATGTCTAATCAAGATTTTTAAATGCCTTTCACCAAATTAAAACCAAAAGGAAATCCCTGCAGTTAATAACAAGAACTTACAAACGCTAGTGACTATCCTAAGTAATGGTAACAGATTGAATGCATATCTCTTAGAACCATGATAAAGACAAGTAGGGATCTACTAGACATCACAGTGGAGGTCCTGAGCAATGAAAAAATTCAAGGAATGGAAATCAAATATATATATATATATATATATACTTATATTTTACAATAGTTTATATATAATAGTTTATATTACAATAATTTAAAAGAATGCTTGTATTCACAGATAATTGTGTATGTCAAGAATTTCAAAGAAACCTTTTTAAAGAAAGTACTAGAATGAAAAAGGTAGTGGGAAAATTGATATGACTGAGGAAGGAAGAAGTAGATGAGATGGGAAAGAGTGACAGATGACTACAGTGGACATGTGAATTGACATGTTAAATTGTAGCCCTGTTGAATGGTAAAGCAAACACACAAATAAGTATTTGTTAATTGCTAGAACTAGGCAGACTGTAATCTTAGTTACACAGAAGGCTGAGACCTGAAGAATTTCAGTTCAAAGCCAGCACAAGCAGAAAGTAGACCTTGGAGATGCCATCATCTCCAATTAACCAGCAAAATGCCAGACAGGCAGTGAAGCTCAAGTAGTACAATGCCAGCCCTGATCAAGAAAGCTGATTTCAAGACCCTATATTGGGACATGTGTGTACATGTGCATGCCCACGTGTATATGTACACACACACACACACACACACACACACACCAAAAGAAAAAAATATGTTAGGACAATATAAATTCTGTTTTAGGATGTAAGGTCAATATACAAAATTGATTTATTTTATATAATAGAAGTTAACATTTAGAAGTTAATATACTATATAAAACAGCATCCACAAGCAGGAAAGCTTCCATGAAATATGTATATAGCCTGCTCTCCAGTAACTCTAGAACAGCACAAAGAGTAACCGAAGGACTAAATAAGTATGAAGCATAATATGCTCATGGATCAACATTGTTAACATGCCCATTTTCTCCAAATTAATCTATAGATTCAACTAAGCTAATCAAAATCTCAACATGTGTTTTGTAGAAATATTCAAAGTACTTACAAAATTTAAAGTAAAATGTAAATAATGACTAAATATAATAATGACTAAATCAGTTTTAAAACAATGTTGGAGTGTCACACAACCTATCTTCAATAATTACTATTAAGCTGTAATAATCAGAACAGTTCAATAGTGACCTAAGTCATACAAAGCAACTAAATAACTAAGGAGACCAGATACATTCTCTCTCCCCCCCTCTCTCTCACACCACACAGTCATTTTATTTTCCATAAAAAATGTCAAAGTAAAGTTTCACCTTTACCTCACTGATATTTGCTTAGTTTTTTTATTAAAACTGAACATAGACCTAGATATACAATCTGAAATGTTAAAACTTCTTAAAGAAAATATGTATAAACTTTGAGTAAAGACTTCTCAGGACTAGAAACAGATGATAATAATAATAATGACAATTATAACAAATCAGTCTATCAAATGTTTACTCTCTGTGAAAATAGCTTCAAAAATGTCAATGCAGAGTAAAGGAGAAATAATCAAAACAAATATATCTAGTAGTGGATTGTTATCAAAATATCTAAAAACTTTTATACTTACAAGATAACTAACCCAATATTTTATAGACACTGTTCCAAGTTATGGAGATGTAGCTAAGTAGTAGAATGCTTGCTCAGCAGGTGAAAGTCCTTAGGTTTGCCTCAAGCACCACAAGAAAGCAAAATAAAAAAATTATCTTCCAAAAATATCCTGTAAAGATCAGGATGTTAGATTATGCCTAGCTGATATAAGCAGGAGACTGAAATCAGGAGGATTGGAGTTTTGAGGCCTAGAAAGTAAGTATGCAAGACACCATATCAAGAAAATTGGGTAGATTTGGTGCACACTTATGAACAGGAGGCTAACATTGCATTTCTATCACCTCAGTATTCTCAGTTCATTCCAGGGGTACTGATGATATATATTTTTTTAATCACTATACATTTGATTTTTGTTCATTTCTTTCTTTTTTTTTTTTGGGTCCGGTTGTGGGGCCTGAACTCTGGGCCTGGGCGCTGTCCCTCAGCTCTTCAGCTCAAGGCTAGTGCTCTACCACTTGACTCAAGGCTAGTGCTCTACCACTTGTGCCACAGTGCCACTTCCAGCTTTTTTCTTTTTGCTTATATGGTGCTGAGGCATCAAACCCAGGGCCTCAGGCTTGCAAGGCAAGCACTCTACCACTGAGCCAACTTCCCAGCCCCTCATTTTTTTCTTTTTGCTTGTTCTTTAAACATTTTTTTGGCATACATCATAAGTCAGACCCACAGAGACAAAAGTTGAATGAGTTCCCTCATTTGTGAGCTAGAATTAGCCTATAAATCTGTAAGTACATACTTTGGTAGTATGCAAGTGGTGACAAATATGGCAGATTCGAGGCTAATCTAAATAGAGTAATTACTTAGAAAAGCAAAATCAAATCCCACCAGTAAACACCAGGAAATGAGTACTTACAAGAGGAACAAAGGGGTCAAGTGGAGCGGGGTAGACAAATGAAGAAGAGAAGCAAGAAACAATACAGTCAAGAATCCAATGTAGTCAGGCACTAGTGGTTCATCCCTGTAATCCTAGCTTCTCAGGGGCTGAGATCCAAGGATTGTAGTTCAAGGTCATCTCATGTAGCAAAGTCCACAAGACTCTTTTTTAAAAAATTAATTTCATTGTCAAGGTATTGTACAGAGGGGTTGCAGTTACATACGTAAGGTAATGAGTCCATTTCTTGAGACTCTTATCTCCCAGTAACCACCAGAACACTGGAAGTGGCACTATGGCTTAAAGTGGTAGAACACTAGCTTTGAGCAAAGGGCTCAGGGACAGTGCCCAGGCCTTGAGTCTAAGCCCCAAGACTGACAACCCCCCAAAAAAAGAATCCAATGCATATCCTACAAAATTAAGAAAAGTGTGAGAACATATCCCCCCAAATTAAGAAGATTGTGAGAAGGGTAGTTAGAGGCAGGATGGGTAATGTTGAAAGGGGTTAACACTGATCAAGATGCACACTGTATTCATAAACTGCTTCATTAAATGGAAAACTCCTTTGTACAACTATTTAAAGATAATTAAAACAAATTTAGAAATCCATAAAACACACTTTACTTTAGGTTTATTAATCCCATCAAAAAATACTATTCATGTGGACAAATTTCTCTCAAATTGTCATGCTATTGTCAATGTTTTGACACTGAGTGCAATGTAAAAAGAAAGAAAAATCAAGCTCAGCAATGCTCTAGAGAGTTTTACCAGCCTTAAAAGAAAAAGGAGAGGAAAAACTATAAAACAGATTTTCTTATTTAAAGAAATGTAATACAGTTTAATTTCTACCATGCTTATAGTTATGCAAGGATAACACTACATTAGGAATGAATAAACATAAACTATTTACCTGTTGGAAGGTGTAGTGTTATGTTGTTGCAAAAATCTGTGAAGCAGCATTCAGTTTTGGTAACATTGTTGGAACTGTGACAGAAGACTTGTGCATTTAACTCTGGGAGCGACACACAAGATTTGATCACCTGCTCCTTCCCATTGGTGAGCATGACTGAGGCCCAACATGCTCCTTCTGTTTGGCAGGTGAAGTTTGAGGAGTCACACAAAAGGCACACACACTTCAATCCTGGAAAGAATAAGGCAAAATGCTTTTTAGAACGGAAAAGGTATCATTCAATGTTTCCAACATAGTTGAAAACGTAAATTCAACCTTAAGGAAAACCTTAAGGTTTAAATCTTAAGGGTTTAAATAAACAATTAAAGTTTCATTAAATAGGCTACTCAACAATCATTTGACATTGCTACTATCTTTGTGATTTTTAATATGTTTTCCTCTATATTGTACTCTAGATCCTTCATGAGCTCAATTAATTTACTCCTAAATCAATAGCTCCTGGGAAATGCTAGGAAACAGCATCATCTCAACCACCAAGAAATGTTGTCTAGCATCATTTGCAGAACATTCAACTGTGGGAACAGCAGCTGTGCAACTGAGCAACATCAGTGTGCCCTGCTCACTCACCCATTTTCCTTTTGACTTAGAGGAGCATGCTAAACACTACCTGTAGAAACGTATAGCTTTAAAAATAGTTGGCACTCTTAGTATTTACAGACTCGGACATTTGAACATCATTATTATTGGTGTGGCAATGTTGAAGATATTAATGAGCTATGACACTGCCCCTTTCACTAAGGAATTTATCCCAGAATGACAGTCACTCAAACATAGATCAGGACCTTGATGTTATGTTCTCCACTTCACACAACTTTTCCATAAAGCAACCCACGTCGATAACAGAACTGAATGCACCTACAAAAGTAAAACTTGCGAAGTTTCGGTTCTGTTAATTAGTTGTCTTGCTCATATCTCAATATTCCTGCCTACCACATCCCACCCCCAATAATCCACACTACTTCACACACAAAATGGTGCAGTATTTCTATGTGAAATGCCTGTCAGTATGAAGAATCTAGAGCTTGTAATTTATTCATATTTTAGAAATAGGTTATTTCTATACAGTACAATTCTAAATAATGTTTCGTATTATTCATAAACCTATGTCAAATTATAAATGTCCCCATAATTATCTGAGTGTCCAAAGTTTCATCATGGAACCATTACTAATAAATGATTGGCTAATCACTCAAATTACAGCTAATTTTATACTCATAAAATACCATAGTGAACTCAATAATTAAATATGTGTTCATTTCATGTGTATTCATCATGGCATATAAAAATCCCATTGTAATTGTGGTACTCAATTGTCACTATTTCCATTTTGTAGATATGAAATGAGGCTCAAAATATCAACTAATCAGCTTAATGTAACAGTCTCTAGACTACACCAGCAATATCTTTTTTATTTCACTAAAGCTGCCAATTTTCCAAAAAGCATTTACCCACCACACTAGTTCCTAAAAACTAAAAATAAAGAGTAATTCTTCTAATATAGTAACAAAAAATTAGCAGATAATTAATAATTGACAATTCAGATTTTGTTCTGTATTGTCTTAATAACTTTTAAAACACAGTTATTTTTGAACAAGTATTATCTACAGATGGCCAGATAAAAAGCAATATCATATTCCTTTTACCTAAAACAAATGATCTCACTTTTCAGCTTATCTACATTCTATATTAAATAAGTTTCCAGCGACCTACTCTCATTCTCTTTCTTCTAAGTACTACTGTATCCTTCAAAAGATGACATAATATTTCTTATCAAGGAATCATTTGAATGTATAATTAACAAGTTACAAATATTTCCTTCAGTTTTAAATCGAAGGTACCAAAAATAATGCAGACTTAGGTGATAATACAAAAAAATGACAGCTGAATTTACATCTTGAATGATGGAAAACACTGACAAAGTTGAGGATTTGTTAATGATAATGAGTCTAAACATCTGCCAAATGTGCCCATTTATTCCAGGCCAGTTGATATTACCTTGACTACCATGAGTGAGTAGCATATGACATATTCAGTCTCACATTTTTCATTTCTCACCAGTCCACTAGAAAGTAACATTTGGCATATAATTAAAGTGTATTTATAGCAGCCACCCTCAACATAGAACCTTAGTGCTGCCAATTAAAATGTAAGTTGCTATTAATGATTAGACTTATACTTTCCTACTTGGTTTTCAAAACTTGATGTTTAATTGAGTCAATTATACGAGACTATTCCATGACAGGATAAATCTGGTTATTCTGCCTTCTGAGTCTTTATCTTACTCTTCTCATTACAATATACTTGAGTCATATAGAAATAGTTAGTAAATGAGGATGAAGAATGAGGCAATTACCCACAATAAGGAGGTCTATTAGATCCTTCCCCACAAGGAAGACTGTACTTTTCTTGTGTCTCCTCCCACTCATTTAATTAGCTCCCCATCTCTCCCTTTTTGCCAATTAGTCTGTAAAAGCCAAGACATCTGTTATCCACAAGACATCTGTCACCCACATCCACCAAAGGATGTGCACATTCCTAATCAACCAGGAAATAAAGTTTCATCCATATTTACATGAAAGGACTAGCACACCCTGGTGTACAGAAGTATAAAAGAGAGAGAGAAAAAACTTTATTTGCATTTTAAAAGTCAAATACTTTCTTAGCAAATAGTAGTTATTTTTGACTGGATACTATGTTCATTAAGTTGATTTCCTATTACCTTTTTTCTATATTTTTAGACTTAATGCTACAGTATCCATTAACGAAGTTTCAATGTAAATGTCTTACTCACACTCCTTCCTCTTTTCCAGATGTTAGATATACAGATATTTTCAATCAACATCTCTAATTTTAGACCAGGCTATCAAGCATGAATGGCTTTATTTTAATTTATAAAGAGTATGACAGGTCTGACACTGCATACACAACCTTTCCATCACTTACAGGCTTTTGAATGAACAAAGGGAGCCATTCGAGCTTGTCATTTTTTTGGAATATGAGCAGGAAAGAAGCCAGGACCACTAGCACTAATGAATCTGAAGGAAAGCCACGCAATTTATTTTTATTTTATTTATTTATTTTTTATTTGTGAACATACTGTACAGAGGGGTTACAATTACATGGGCAGGATAATGCGTACATTTCTTACCAAGAATTGCAGCCTCCTCCTTTGGTTTACCCTTCATATCCCTTCCCAGCCTCTCCCCTACCCCCCAATCCCAACCCTTCTCCTCCCCCCCTTCCCCTCCCCCACCGAAGTTGTAAAGCTCGTTTTGGACATGGCAACTTATACTTCTCATTGTTGCATCAGGTCCACCTGTATCCTTAAACAACTGTTTTTTCCCCATCTCCTCCACAAGTTATACTGACAAGCCACGCAATTTAAAACAAACACTTGCCTTTCTTTTTTATCTTCTGGACTTTTTTGTTGTTTATTTTTTTGTTTTGTTTGAAATAAACCATAGTCAATTTATTTAGATAATTGATCTAGATTGAATATCTAAAATGTACTGTATCCCGAAATAACACTTTTTTGTTGACAGATACTCTATTTCAAATGTTCTGCTTTTCTTTTCTCTTCTTTTTTTTCCTCTTAGTCCTTTGGAGATGGAGGCTATGTTGCCCAGCCTATTGTCTAACTGCTGGGCTCACTCAGGTGATTGTCCTATCTCAGCTTCCCATATACTGAGACTACAGACACATGACACCATGCTTGTCTTTGTTTCTCTTAATTGTAAAGAAAAAAGGAATGAAGAAAAAAATGTTAGTAAAATATGGACAATACATCCAATATTATGAGAATACACTCAGCACAAAGGTAAATTGTCCTTTTGTGCCAAATGGGAGTTATGCTCCTTTTTCAGAAGGCTTCCTCTTTTAAAAATTATATTTATTTTATTTTATTATCTTTAAGTACTTTTATAAAGGAGTTGTCATTCAACAAAGCAGTTTATGAATATAATACATCTTAATCAATGTCACCCCTTTCAACATTTTCACTTGTCCCTCTCCTACCCACACCTTCCCTCGCTTTTCTTAATTTTGTAGGATATCCATTGAATTTTTGACTGCCTATTTATAGTTGAGAAGAAATGGAACCACCCTGCCTGGGTAGACATAAGAGAAAAGTCCTAACTTCCAGTTCAATTTAGGAAGAATACAATGCACTGTGGATTAATTTTTTTTGGGTCTGGTCGTGGGGCCTGAACTCTGGGCCTGGGCACTGTCTCTCAGCTCTTCAGCTCAAGGCTAGCACTCTACCCCTTGAGCCACAGAGCCACTTCCAGCTTTTTTTTTCTGCTTATGTGGTGCTGAGGAATTGAACCCAGGGCCTCATGCATGAAAGGCAAGCGCTCTACCACTGAGCCATCTTCCCAGCGCCCTGTGGATTAATTTTAACCACTTAGAACTTCCTCTCTCCAAGAGTAAGATTTTCAGTATAAGTAGCTTATGTATTACTTTATCTGTGGTAGCTAAGAAGAAAGGAGCAGATTTGGAAATGTGAGTGTCCACAGGACAGGTTTGAACTCTCAAATTCACACACAGGTGAAGAGAAAATCCTCCTAGTTTATACCCCTGCAAAACTTCTCCAGTTAATATTAAAGAATATTTATCTTGTTCAATATTTATTTATCATATGAAAATCTAATGTTCTTTCCAACATCATACAATTTGGAGGGAAACAGGAGGAAAAATGATGAGAGCCTGAAAACACCCATCATTCCTGTGAATTATGTTAAACATCCAGAGACTGTTGCCTCATCCTTTAATCACAGTATATACACAGTCACAGAGTCAACATGCAAAACCAAAAGTGGTCCAAAGGGGTTGCATACTATAGCAATTTGATTGATTACCCCGCAGTCTATTATGTAGAAATAAAAGTGTTTGTAAGTAACACTTAGGTGGATAACAAAAATAGAGCTGAAAACTGACTGGGATTTATACATAGCTTCCATATTTTACTAAGTACAGAATGGAGAATATGATGGCACAATATCATAATGGTTTTAGCGCAATTTTTTAAACTATGTAACAGAGTAAAATAACCATTTGGACATTTTGCTTATCATCATAGTTATTAACTGAAAAATTCCCAAAAAGGCCTTTTAAAAAATTACTATTAATAATATTAGCTACTAGAGTATGCTGCAAATAAAAGTCAAGCATA